ACTTGCTAAAAATCAAAATAATCTTAATAATTAATTATTTCAAATTTTAATCTATACTTTAGAATTACCTGCACGAGCAACAGCAACTTCAAGAGCAGCCGATGAAGCTACACCTTTATTACATGGTACATCAGAAATAATAATTACATTGAAACCGATTGGAATCGATGTTTTATCAATTTTATCTATCAATTGAGATAAAATACCAAGTATATAATTTGGCCAATTTATTGGTTCATCAGATGAAAATAATGTATTGTGTTGTTGTTGTTTATACCATGTTTCTAATCGTTTTCGTAATGTATGACTATGATCTAAGAGTATATTCATTGGAATTTCACGTTCCCATATAATTAATTTATTTTCATTGATTGAATCAACATCAATTCGATCTGTTTGAATACTAATCATATGAACTGTATTTATATCAGAAACTTGAACAAATGCATGAGTCCTTTGTGAAATTGGATATTGAAGTACATGAGAACCAGAATAGTCAGCAAAACCTTAAAATAAAATAATCATTATATAAAGTAAAGTTTTTCTTTTTTTTTATTATCAGACCTCCCATTACATCTAAACGACCAGGTGCACTAGCACTATATACTGGTTTCTTAGATAATGAGAATAATTTTCGTAATTTATCAATGTGTTGTACTAATGGCCAAGCTTTGGATATAGAAGAATTTTGTTGTAATAATTGATTTTTTTTCTCAAAAGCAAATGCATGAAATGTACGATAATATTCTTTAGGATTACCAATATCATATCGTTCACCATCTAATAAACAACCATGTAATTGTCCATTCTGTCGAAGATTATTCATTGCTTCACGTAAACCAAGTTCTGAAATTGTATTTTCTTCTTTTAATTTTTGTTCATATTGTCGAAGTTGATAAAAAATTGTCGATGGTAAAATATCAATACCAGCTTGACATAAAAAACGATTATTGAATATTCGAGATTGAAAATGATTAAGTGCTATTTCAATAGAAGGTTTTTCTATCATATCTGTAATTTCAAAAAATTGTTTATCTTTCATATTTATATTTGATTGTAATAGACCAGTTTCTGAAACTTCTTCTAAAGTACACGTCATGATTCCTGTAAGACCCATAATAGATTGATTTGAAATATTTTGTCGGTATGCATTGAGTAATTGTTGTAAACATGATTGATTATTATTCGACTGATAAAGATGATCACTTAACATAACAACAAATGGTTCATTATCAATATATGATTCAGCTTGTAGAATAGCATGACCAAAACCTTTTGGTGATTGTTGTAAAATATAATCGATATTCTTATGAGGATAAGATGAAAAATATGATTGAAATAAATCTAACTGTTCAGGTGCAATAACAAATAAAACTTGTTCAATATCAGTTCCTTTGGTAAAGACTTGTTCAAGAAGAAGATCAACTACTGGACGACATTGCCATGTCAGAGAATTTGATTGTACAATAGGTAAAAAAACTTTTGGTAAAATTACACTTTGAGGACGCATTCGTAGGCCAAGTCCAGCAATAGGAAGAACAACCTTACGTACAGAATTTTTTCGACAAGCATTAATTGATAGTGGTAATTTATGTTCAATATAATTATCTTTTTTCAATAGAGTAATTATATGACCTGAAAATGGTGTATATGATTGAACAGACCAACCAGTTGCTGAAAATAGATTATTCCATTCTTGACGAGTTCGTTCTTTAGCGTCATGTAATAAAAACATATGTAATGATAGAAGAGCATGTTGGTTAATATTTAAATCGACTTCACGTTCGATTATACAGAGATATTTTGATGGAATGCGATTTAAAATGATTTTAATTTTCTCATCAGGCCAATCATGAAGTACACGAGATAAAAAATAAAAATCAGCTGAAGGTAAAAAACCAGAAAATAGATCTGCACTTAAAAATTCAATTTGTGGATGATATGAAGCTAAATGAATAACTTCAGGACGATCAATACAAATTAAACGTTGATTAAAACAATGTTTTGATAATTCACGTAATAAAGCACCAATTCCACCACCAAGATCGACAATAGTAGATGATTGAAATAATTCATTTGGAAGTACAGATGTAATATCATGCCAATCATGATCAGCATATGAATTTAATACTCTTTGTGTCAAAGCAACAAGATCAGGTGTTTTAGATATTTGAGAAAAAAAATCAATTTTTGAAATATGTTGTTTTTGAAAATTAAAAGTTGGTAACCAAGCTGATATATGTCGATCTAATAACCAATAAAGAGCACGATCACGAATAATACTATCGGAATCAAAAAGAAGACGACCTCGATCTGTTATAGTATAAGTCTTATTATTAGGTGATAATTCAAGAAAACCAAATTCATTCCATACTCGACGAATTTGTTCTCTTAAATTGTAATCATGATTGCTAGATTGATGATTTTCTTCAAGTAAATTTATTTTTTGATCTAAACCTATTTTAAGTGCGAAGGATGACCAATAATTTTTTGAAATCTATAATAAAAAAAAACTGTTAGAACAAATTCTGTCGGATTAAAATGTGAAACACGATGTAGCTACTATTGCTAAATCATGGCTTATTGAAAAACGTCAAAAAAAAGTAATGTAGGCGATTAGAATAATAGGGAAAGGAAGAACGTCGAAAATGAAAAACACAGAAATGAAGTTTTCCACTGTTTTTTAAATCCTATATTCAATGTTTTAAATTATCAAACAAACACCCACATCCAATGTGTTTATATTTATTCTCTAAATATGCAATAACGAAGTAATTTATATATTAGCATGAGACATAGTTGTTATACGGTGTTTGACTGTATATCAACAACATATGTCAAGATTCATAATGATGTCTTCCTAGCGTTCGTCATGATCCGTGAGAGGACGGACGAAATTTTTACTCCTGTATTTCAATACTCTTTTTAGATCGTATTTCATTATAATGTATTTACTTGTTCAATATCAGCACGATTTTCATCATGACAATTATGTAATCGAGCTAATATATGATGTTGTTCATCGATAATACATCTTGATCCATCATGAAATAATTGAACAAGTGCTTGACCATTATAAAAATTTTCAATTTGACGATATCGACGACCTTGTCCAATATCAACACCAGCACGATTAATAAAAAACCAACCATTTTCATCTCGTACTCGTGCTAGACCTTTATGATAAACATCAAGATCGAAAAAACTTGTTTTCTTCGATGATGAATGAAGTAAATCACCATTCTCATCAATAGCACGAAAAAGACCATCAACTATACTACGAACAACAGCACTGCCCTAACATTAAAAATCAATACTACACACACAGATATACGAAAAAAAAGAACAAATATTTTACTTCTCGAAAATCACCAGCATATGAATGTGGACCTGAAATAATTCGTCCGTTAGGATCAATATGATAATATTTTAGATCAAAGTCTCGAACAGGACATCGATGTGATTGAAAATTACCACACCATTGCCATACAGACTTATAAGCAGGAGAACCTTGTATTGTAATATGATGCCAATAATCAAGATTCTAAGAATATTTTAAATTAATTTTATATTTTATTTTATTTTATTATTATAACAAACCTGTACAGCAGCAAGATCTTCATAGAAACCAAATGTACGATGAAATCGTTGAGAATAAACACTTTCACCATGTTCATCGATATGATATGCTTCTTCAGTTTGATCAATAACTGGTGCTAAACCAGGTGAATGAAATGGTAGAACATTTTTAAATCGATAATGATAAAGTGGTTGTTGAGTATTTAAACAAATATGATATGTACCACATGATGAAACTCGTGAATGTGTCCATTTCTTTCGATGAATTATATTTTTCACAAGATTTAATTGTTGAAATCGATTAAATAACATCTAGAATAAATATTACATTCAAAAAAAGAAAAATCAAATGAAATTTATTAAATAATTTTATTTTAATTCAGGTGGTTTTCTCATATTACAATTTTGACAAAGTGAATATTTTGTATAATTATTAATTAAATTTTTATATGCATCACTTGTCCAAATTTTCATTAGAGTTTCATTCGAATTTTGAACATTACCAAATGAACCCAGTGATAATCGTTCTTGATCGGGCGCACAACAAGGGTCAAAACGACCACTATGATTTATCCATGCTTCTTTACCTAGAAATGGACATACGCTTTGTGGATGAATTGTAAATGGACCACTTTGTTCATTCAATTCAAAGAAATTTTCAAGTTTGATCTAGAAAATTTTAATTGAATATTGTTTTTTTTTTGTTTATTGGAAGAATCTCACTTGTTTTCCAGTTGGTAATAAATATTGGCGAGCAATATTTTGACATTCAATAACACATTGATTCCATCGATGAATAGATTCAGGTGATCGTCGTAAATTTTGATCTTTTATTTGTTTAAAATGAGCCCATAAATGATGACCTTTAATACGATCAACCCCTAATGATATTCCTAATTTGACAATCTAGATAAATCTTATTGCAATATAAATATCAAAATATAAATTCTATTTACTTCAGGTATTTCAGGTAAATTGATTTCCATGAATGTAAGTTGCAATGTAATTGAAACTCGGTTATCACCTTTGTCGGTGTATTCATCACGTATACGAATGAATTCAGTTAGATTTTTTAACTACAAACATATTCAAATGAAAATATTTACAGTAATTTAATTTCGGTTTTTTTTTTCGAAATGGTAATTCGTAGAAAACAATTCGAATAGTGATTTAAATAGGAAAAAGTGTTTTCAATTGAAAACCTGATTTATCAACATACAGGATCTGAAAATAATATTTTGTTACTCTCTTACAGAACAATTGATTATTTAGAAAATGATACATCTCTGTACGATAGTCACTGATAGAACTACATCAACACTAAAAACCGCCAAAAATTGTGGCTTTTCAATTCTTATAAAAACTTTAGTAACTCAATCAAAAAATCTTGTGAAAAGCTCAGAGATGTCTCATTTTGTAGACAATCAGTGACTCTATTGTTCAGTATAATCAAAATCAAAACTTTTATGCTTGGAATTCTTTATGCAAGTTATCCTTATGAAAAGAAATTGAAATGAAGTTTTTGTTATCACTCTTCGGAGCTACTGCATCTCAAAATATGAACATATACCTGTTTATCGAGTTTAGAGTTTTTCATAACCAATTCTTGAGTCGTTTTTGTACTACCATTCCAAGAAAATTTAATATCACTTAAAACTGGCATGAGGAGATGAGCCCATTCCGTGACTAGAAAGAAATATAAATTCGTTGATAAAATAATATTTTCACTTCGGTAGAAGTGTGCTAAAGGAAACTTTTTTCTCCTTTGAGTCGTATATAATGTCTCTTTCGAAGCATATATAGCTTAATAATGTTAATATATAAGTCATCTTCGAAAAGCTATAAAGAAAAAGATGGCTAGAAAGAACTGCGAAACATTATTTAAAATGATCCATTGCAATTATTATTTTATCTTAAATGATGAAAAGTCTATCACATTAAATGAAAATCATCTCGTTCAAGATCATAGTTTGATTGTTTGTGTAATCGAAAGGAGTTTTGCATGTACAATTATGAAAAATATGTAATCATTATAAGAGTATTTCTCTTTCTAATTACATCATTTAGCTTATCAAATTGTAATAAAAATAAATTATATACGATTCGCAGGAGGAAAATTTTCTTTGGAAATCCTTCTGTTGAAGAAAAATAGAAGCTGACATTTATTCTCTTATTTTTATATCACATATTATATACCGGAATGGCCTTGTGGTGAAAAAAATGATCCATTTGTTGTTAGATTTAATTTAATATTGTAATCTCGACATAGTTTGATAATATCTTCAAATGTACGACCTTTTGCATCTCGATACATAAGTGGTTCACCCATTGTTGATGGAATCTAATAGATACATTCAAAAATATAAATAATAAATAAATAAATAAATAAATATTCTTACGATTTCTTGTAATCCAAGTGAAGCTGTCTCGGCAACGACTTGTTTTATGATATCAAAATCCATTCTACGACGTCGAATTTTTGCTTCTTTACGTGCTTTTTGATGTGGTGAATGTTCTGAATGTTGTTCACACATAATGCAACTAAAATTACAATCATCTGGATTTGTATCAAATGTTATTCGACGTGGGGCTGATAATGATTCAATAGGTTTTGGTTGAAGATGATTTACTTGTTCTTCAACATGATTTTTTGTTAATGTTGAATATAAATCAATTAATTGATCAACATGTGATTCAATTGATGGTACTTGTTTATCATTAGAATAAAGATAACCATGTTGACTTAATTTATCAAGTAAATCTGGTTGTTGAATAGCTTGAAGTATAACTTGTGCAAGTGATGATACATTACGATGTGTAAATATTAATCCATTAACTCCATCTTTCACTAATTCACTCTGAATATATATAGGAAAATGAAAAACATCTATGAATTTACAAAAATTCTTACCATTCCACCGTGATCAGCAGTAATAACAGGTACACGACATTGTTGTGCTTCATGAATAACTAATGGAGAATTTTCATCCCAAATTGATGGAACTACAATATAATCTACTTGATTAAATACACGTTCAACAATTTCAGAATTTTTATATTCTGAACGCCATTCAATTAGAATTCCAGCTATTTTAGCCATTGTTTGAAGATAATTTGTTGTTGTAGAATCTGGTCGACCATAAATAACGATACTAAATCGATTAATTAAGTCTGGATGAGTTTGAACTATTTGTTGTGCAGCTTCTAATAATAAATTAATACCTTTCGATGGTGCATGTCGACCAATGTATCCAAATACAAGAGGATCATTCAATGAACGAATACGTCGACGATTTGATAATATCGATCGATCAAAACCATATGGCAAATATTTGACTTTTTCAGGTGGAAGACCAAATTCATCAATAAATCGTTTTTGTAAATGAAGTGATGGTGCAATAAACATATCAATTGTATCACATGCTTGTCGTACTGTATGCATTCGTTCATTAATCCACCATGTCCAATAATCCATTTCACGATCTTTGTTTATTGTAGTTCCTAATATATAAATATAAATTAGAATTGTCAAGAAGTCACATTTTCCAGTCTGGCCCACAAGTCGAACTTGTTCAACTTATGTTTCTAATCTCTATCATATACCTAATTTATTTTTACGAAAACCGTATAAGGACAAGTTCTTGTATAAAATAGACAATCGACAAAAAAGAAATAAATTATCAAGAATATTTATCGACATGTTTTTGAATATATCAGTACTGTTCCACATACTTCGGAAAAATAAATGTTATGATGAGATGTACAACAAAGAGATAAAAAAAATAATGTGAGTATCACGAGTTGTGTGTGAAAGCATGACCTACATGCTAACAATTCTGATATAAATATTTCTATGAAATCTTTATTTCATACCTGTAGCAAAACGAGATGTAAAACATTTCGAAGCACATTTCTTATCTTCTTGCCCTGTACACAATTCATAAGGTTTTTGATTAATAAATGTCGAAGCAACACCATTAATCAAAAATTGACCTCGTGGACACATAAGCCAATAATCATGTAATGTATAAATAACTTTTGCATTCAAAATATCTTTTGCAGATTGTGGTAAGGTTAACGATAAATGATTTAAATGTCCAAAATGAACAATATTTGGTTTTGGATATAGATTTTGACATAGATTTTTAAAACAATGATCAATATCTGTATTAACAAATCTTTGATATGGTGCTTCTCGCGCATGGTTAATTAAAAATATTGGTATAGTTGAATCATGTTCATCTTGTGTCTGTCGAATAATAAAATCATCACGAAATGGATTTTGTTCACGTGCAATAATCGAAACTGCTGATGTTTTTCTTGATCGATTTAATCGAACAGCTAATGTTTGTGTGTAAACCTAAATTTTTTTAAAAGTTTTTAATAAAAAAAAAAGGAGAAAAATTAATTTTACCTCTGAACCTGCATTGAATAATGGTGGATAACCATGATTGACAAGTAGAACTGATGGTTTTGTTATAGTTTGAATGATTGATGAAGTAGAAAAACATACACGATTTATTTTCCCACTGATACCTAAAAACCGTGCCATGCAATGCAAAAATAACCTGTATAGTGTCTAGACACAGAATAAATAAAATGAAATGCTTCGACTGGTAGAGAAAGAAAAGAACAAAAGTAGACTAAGATAAAAATGTTGTCGTCGACTTCAAGCAGTTTTTGTAGTTCTGTTACTGTTACAGACGGTCTGCACAAGGAAGAAACCTTTAATATTTTTCTTTTTTGTTTGAATTAGCAAGAAACAAAAGAGAACAATGTAACTTAATGTTGTGTCTATTATAAAACAGAGCTAGAACGAGTTAAAAAAAAAGCATAGAAATTTTCTTTTTTTTTGCACTCCAAGTATTGTTGTCATAGGAAAAAAAGCGTTATTTTATTGATATGACTCAGTAACAGTTAGGGTTGCATGAATAAAAAACAGAACATAATCATATTCGTATTAAATATTGATTCAAAAACAGGTATCTTGTTTTTTTTTGTCAGATGTAATCTATGATCTGTAAATGTTGAAAAAAAAATTATTATTTTTTTAATAAAAGCTTAAATTTTTAGTTGATCGTATGAACACAAAATCAAAATGTTCTAAAACTCGGAATATGCCACTTGTAGAAAAATGTTTCTTATTGATGTTTTGAAATTGTTCGCTGATCAATGATAATGTGATATTTGTTCTTTTATTTGATTACTTGACTGCTTTGACTTGTTTTTCTGAAATCGATTCAAACATTTCAATCATTATGCATTCAATCGATTTTACTAGGTATGGAACTTGAATAAATCCAAAATTGTAT